CATGCGCGACGCAGCGAGAGTGAAAAAGCAGACGTGGTAATTAATATTGCTATTTAAATATGACAGGCTCGTAACTCCTAAGACATGGGAAATACAGTTGCAAATGGACTTTGCTTTTTCATCTGAAATTTGGCCGTCACTGTGCGTTCGCGAAAGCGAAAATGCAAACGCTAATGCAGGATTTGCAATTGCATTTGGATTATGTCACAATGTATGCGTCCACATATTGAAAACGCAATTGAAAATACAATTTGCTATTCTTTTTGAAAATTGTCCGGAATATCGTTCCATAAATAATTAAAGAGATGTTTTGATATATATATATATATGATCAAGCATCCCACACCTGAGATATGCAATATCTCTCTGATGTTTCCTCTTTTTCTCCCTTTTTCTTGTGTCAGCAGGAGCCAACTACACCCCAAAGACACTTTTGAGGGCCACCTAGAATCGCGGCACCTTTGGCTTCGTACGTTTTTTTATTTTTATTTTTATATGATCTCTCATATGTTGGGCTGGGGATTGATAGATATTTCATAATTCCATTTGATTCACAAGCTCTTAATTAATTTCTGATTTTGATACAATTCAGTATGATTCACAATTATTCTTATTCTCTTATTCTGATTCCAGTTTCCATACAATTTCATTGGATTAAAATATTTCTGAGAATTTGATGACAGCCATTTATGTACCTTGATTTAGTATTCATTTTGGTTATAATCCTGTATTCTTCTAGAGTATTTCTAGATTGACTCAAAAGCCTGTTTTGCTCTAATATTTTCAAACAATACAAATGTTACAGTAGCTGATACACACTGATATTCCTTGAATCAAGAGCTGTCACAACTAAAAAGATACTTTAAAACACTTCCAAAAAAAAAAAGTTCAAACTTTAAGTTTGAAGGACCATAAAGTTACTCTTAAATGTTAATGTACATTCAGGCAATTAATTGTTCCCTGACAAGGATGTGCAAAAAAGCAATACTGTTCAAACAGTACTATACTGGGAATAACTGCTGTTGCACAAGTTTAGATGAGATAAACTCATGACCATTTCTCACACATTTCCCCTCTGTTTTGTTTCAGATCAGCTGTCAGTGGTTATGGAGGCCATGCAGCTGTAGCGTCTGGACCAATCATACACACCATTTTTCATTTGATTTAACAAATCAATTATTCATTAGATTAACAAACATTCACAGACCCTTCACCCAATAAACATACTGGGTGCCAAGTTGTCTGTGAACGGCCCAGGACCCTGGTTACCATGGCAACCCTGACACCTTTGCTAGACCAGATAGATTTTACGACCTAATGGCATGTTGAGAATTACCCCTCTCACTACACTCTCCGTAGGAAGAGACACAATGCACGGCAGAAATGGACTCTTCTCTAATTAATCCATAGGAAAACCTTTCTTTGAATGAACACACATATCCTTCGGGTCATTGTGTATGTTGTCTTTGATATTTTTATACTGTTTTATGCAGGCTTATCATGGAACCACTCATTCCTGTCATCTTACCTATATGTAATCTTACCATGTTTAGTATCTATGAACTCACCTTCTGATGATCTAAACGAGCGTGTATATTATATGTGGGTACATAGGCAATATATTAGTGTCCTGAGAATCTTTAGTAATTTCGATTCAAGGTCCATATGCAAATTACCATGCTTCCACACAAAGGGTCATAAACTCCCCAGTATTTCCAAACTCCCACTTGGGATTCCGGCCTTTCTCATTGGACAAGCCCATCTTGAGAGGCGTGAATCTTCTCAGACCTTAAAGGCCTCACATCAGTGACCCACCCAGAGTTGGTGGTTTGGTTGAATTCTGAGAAGATGAACCAAGACCAACTGGGATGCTTGTTGCCATATTTCTTTTTGTTGCAATATTGTCATGATCTCTGCTTTGATTTGTTGTTATGAATTCAGTTCTCTATTTTTT